GCCATCACTCGAGACGAGCTCTCGGAACTTCTCCTTATGTTTGTGGGAACAGCTGCTGACATACTGGAATTTACCAGTGAGACTCTGGGATTAAATAATGTGAGGTAAGTACTGCAGTGCTTCTTTTCAAGGTTAGTACCATGCACCTCTCTTTCTGTTAATTTGTATCTCGTATGAACAAGAATTTGAGTATTTCATATGTTCAATGTTAAGATAATACAATTTGTAGCTATTTAGATACATGCTTGGAACTGATATGATGTTTATAGTATTACTACTACTACTACCACTACTATTACATAAAGGAGATTTCTACCAGATAAAAGGACGCATAATACGGCCTGTGGATGAGAATAGAAAAGCTGTGCATGCTTGTATGACTATAGGTCAAGTGGGGCCATTTTATGGGGAAAACTTCTGTAGTGGAAAAATCATCCCTAATTCCTCTTTCACATTACCAAGTACCAGGAACTGATTGTAAAATCCTCTTCTAGAGCACAGTGTAGCTGTAATTCCAAAAGACATGGAGAACTCTCTCTCTTCTTCAGTTGGAGAATTTACATTCCCTTGTGTGAATGTAGAATGGGGCAGATGAAGTTTTATTTTACAAAATTTTATTTTTAGTCAGTTTTGTTCAAAGCGCCCAAAGGCTTTTTGGTGTAGATGCCTATAAATTAAAACTTATTGAGTTGGTACTTTTATTTTTGCCACAAGCAAATAAACTCAGAATCCATGATCACATCTGTTTATGGAACTACTTTCTTCCCATTAGGGATTTAAGTCTCAGTGCCTGAATGTACTTTAAGCTTGGGTTGTTTTGCACTATGCTATAAAAATAAATTGGAATGAGGCTGGCTTTTAATGCTACAGTTTACTTTATGCTGTGTTTCTCAAACAACATAACATAAAGCTGAGCAAAATATATTAACTTATTGAGTAAACTTAATATCTCAATTATTGTACAAATTATATTTATAACCATTGGTTATCTTTACAAGATCATTTCTTGTTTCATTTATATTAATTTTTCTTTTCGCTCATTAAGTTGACATATTCTTTTAAAAAGAATCAAATCTAAATTGGTACATTGTCTTCAAAGTGTTTATTTCTGTAGTTTTAATGCCTTATATTTTGTCTGTGATTTACACTGTATAATTTATTTTTAAGTAGTTTAATGATAATTATAACACAATGTGATTCTAAGAAAAATGTGAAAATATCATGACAAATCACATAAAAATAATAAATATCTACAGTGACAGGGACATGACAATACAAGGATAACAAACTATAGCTTTCTAGAAATAAATATATACATGTTAAATATTTAGGGAAATGGGAGGGGATATGTTTTACAGGCCTGTCATAAAAATCTGAGAAATACCAAACTGAATTATTAGACTCTTTATGAGTTCCATCCAGAAATGACATCAAGAAGCAATTTATAGATCTGTGGTTGCCAATAAATGTTGACTATTAAATAAGTTTATTTAATTCCCCAGTCTTAAAAAAAAATCTTTGAAAATCATGAGGCCTTTTTTCACCAACAATGGATTTGTTGGGTAACATGTGCCAGGCAGGGTGCCAGGCAGAGAATGGGTAGCACATGTGAATGGTGAAGCAAGTGCTGCATGAAGGATGCTCAGTTCTACCCAAAACAAGTCTATTTCAACTCAGTGAGGGTTTAGGTAACACATGATATTTCAGGATATTTAAATCCCC